AGCATCACATGGTTTCGGGGCCAACTCTAGTTAGGATTTGATTTGTGTAACGATTTATACTTAATAATTTATATAGCGATTTATTTATGCAATCTGTATGACGATCTGTTTTGTATTTGTGCGATTTGTGTAACGTATTTTATATATATATAGTATAGGTGATAATCACCTGTGGTGTAAATTAGAAATGTTCACTAATAAAATATAATAAAAAAGAAAGAAAAAGAAAATTCTATTACAATATATTATTTACAAGAATATAATTCTTAAATTTGTTTTTTCATATAGCTTTAGCATAGAATCGTCTCTTAAGTCAGTAATAATATTTTTAATCTTTCACTATTTTAATACGATCTGTAATGTTTTTAATTTGAATATTAAATCCTGTTAAAATTACATTAATAACTTCTATATAATAATTCAAGAGAATGCTTACCGCCATACTTATTACATCGTTATAAAAAGATAGTCCAATTACTGGTACTGTATTGGGCTTATGACCTTGTTAAAAATATGTTAAAAATTTTTTTACCCATACTATATAATTTATCAGATATCAATTGTTATGTACTTAGTTTCAAAATAATACCTACGACCCTTGTTAGTTCTTAGAACCTGATTTCAAACCAACTTGGAAGTACGCTGAAGCTAAATAAAACTCAAGAGGAAGTAAGGTGTTCATACTTTGTAGGTGAAGTATTTGACATAAAAAAAATCAAATACGAGACTCCAAGCGTTGATGGTAACTCAAATGCAAGTTAATTAGGAACGTAATCATGAAGTTTATTATATAATTCTTGTTGTAGAACACTTATAGGGATTGGTGTTCTAAAATTACTGTTTCGTGCTTAACGTTCATTAAGAATAAAACTATCGACAGGGCACAACCAATCGTAGAAGTTAAATCCAGATTTAACAATAAATCCGGATTTAATCATTACAGCTGTTATTTCGGCCGAATTCGATAAGTTTTTTGAATTCGGTATTATTGGAATTTGATTTCGGCGAATTCAAAAACTTATCGAACTT